TATATATATATATATTAGGGCTGGTAATGATTAAAATTTTCGTGTTCGATTAATCGAAATTTTTTTTAATCGATTAATTTTGATTTATTAAAACGCACATACAGATCCAACTACATTGGACTATGCACATACAGCACAGCAATGAAGTAAAAAAATGAACTAGGATCACACTAATCCAGCACGTTATTAACCTCCCTGGCGGTATTCCCGAGTCCCGAGTCTACCAGGAACGGTAACCCCGAGCCAGACTCGGGAATGCACAGAAAAGTGACACTTACCTTGTCCCTGCGAGCCCACGGCGTCCTCTGCTGTACGCGGCCCGAAAATGAAATTTAAAAGTAAGATGCCGGCATCTGACTTTTAGTTTCGTTTTCGGGCGTCACAGCCGGCGGGAAATTTAAAAGTGATATGTTGGCTGGTAAGGTTGCCTAGGTTTTTAACCTACACAAGGTCAGGGTCTCCATGATTTGTGTCTGTTATGGTGTTTTCTCAGATCTTAATAAGTTCTGGTCTAGGTCCTGGAGCCCGGAGGCTTTGTAGAGCTTTGGGTGGCATTAAGCTTCTATCCCTAGATCCACAACTTACCTGTTAGCCAGACCTAATTATTTAGTCTCAACTCATGTGAGTTGACTGAGGCTTTTGACAGATGTCTGTTTGTTTGGGAAACCCATTGGGGTACCCTGTTAGTCAGAAACTGACATAAGTTTAGTTAGTGGCTCAGATGAGCATATTTTATTTTTTAATTAATGCCATGGGCTTGCTGCACTGAACTATTTGTTTACTGCCTTGCTGAAAAGAAGTGCAGACAAACCTGCTTGGAGTGTCCATGATGTCCCTGTGATGTGCAGGGTGTACTACTACCACTACCTATCACTTCAATGATCTAATCATCTGAAAAGCAAATCCTTGTTACTTATTACTTATTATTAAATCTGCACATGACTGGATAATTGAACTAAATATTCACACAATGTATTGTGTGAACATTCCCAGTTTATTTAGTAAATTGGCCTCATTGTATATGTGCTGTAACAAGGACACTCCACTCTAGTCCAGGTAAGTCAAGTATAATGCAGTTTATTAAAGGGCAAACACAAAATAGCTTGCAGCAGCAACATAAGACAGTCCTTTATATGGCTCAGTAGCTTTTCACAGCTTCAAGACACTCACGCTGCTCACCCCTCGTGAGCCCTCACTCTGCTCTCTTAGCAGTCTGTACCACAGGTCCTAGGGTCACCAACCTTCCTGACCTCTCCCCTCGTGGGCACTCAGTCTGCTCTCTTAGCAGTGCGTCCGACAGGTCCCTGGGGTCACCGACCTTCCTGACCTCTCCCCTCGTGGGCACTCGCTCTGCTCTCCCAGCAGTGCGTCCGACACACACCCGAGTTTGTCTGTGTCCGTGTGCTCCCTGCACACACACACAACTCCAACACTCCCCTGAGCACTGGGCTGGCTTCCTGATAAGGCTGCTCTCAGCCACCTGATCAGCTGAAGCTGGTCATTGGCAACACCTGGCCCCAGGACTGGAGATCTCCTCCCACCCAGAGCTCTACGAAATCTCCAGAGCTCCAGATCCCAGCTACAAATAGGAAAACCTGGACAGACCTGAAAAGCCAGGTTCTTCCTTATTATGTTGGCTGGTAAGGTTGCCTAGGTTTTTAACCTACACAAGGTCAGGGTCTCCATGATTTGTGTCTGTTATGGTGTTTTCTCAGATCTTAATAAGTTCTGGTCTAGGTCCTGGAGCCCGGAGGCTTTGTAGAGCTTTGGGTGGCATTAAGCTTCTATCCCTAGATCCACAACTTACCTGTTAGCCAGACCTAATTATTTAGTCTCAACTCATGTGAGTTGACTGAGGCTTTTGACAGATGTCTGTTTGTTTGGGAAACCCATTGGGGTACCCTGTTAGTCAGAAACTGACATAAGTTTAGTTAGTGGCTCAGATGAGCATATTTTATTTTTTAATTAATGCCATGGGCTTGCTGCACTGAACTATTTGTTTACTGCCTTGCTGAAAAGAAGTGCAGACAAACCTGCTTGGAGTGTCCATGATGTCCCTGTGATGTGCAGGGTGTACTACTACCACTACCTATCACTTCAATGATCTAATCATCTGAAAAGCAAATCCTTGTTACTTATTACTTATTATTAAATCTGCACATGACTGGATAATTGAACTAAATATTCACACAATGTATTGTGTGAACATTCCCAGTTTATTTAGTAAATTGGCCTCATTGTATATGTGCTGTAACAAGGACACTCCACTCTAGTCCAGGTAAGTCAAGTATAATGCAGTTTATTAAAGGGCAAACACAAAATAGCTTGCAGCAGCAACATAAGACAGTCCTTTATATGGCTCAGTAGCTTTTCACAGCTTCAAGACACTCACGCTGCTCACCCCTCGTGAGCCCTCACTCTGCTCTCTTAGCAGTCTGTACCACAGGTCCTAGGGTCACCAACCTTCCTGACCTCTCCCCTCGTGGGCACTCAGTCTGCTCTCTTAGCAGTGCGTCCGACAGGTCCCTGGGGTCACCGACCTTCCTGACCTCTCCCCTCGTGGGCACTCGCTCTGCTCTCCCAGCAGTGCGTCCGACACACACCCGAGTTTGTCTGTGTCCGTGTGCTCCCTGCACACACACACAACTCCAACACTCCCCTGAGCACTGGGCTGGCTTCCTGATAAGGCTGCTCTCAGCCACCTGATCAGCTGAAGCTGGTCATTGGCAACACCTGGCCCCAGGACTGGAGATCTCCTCCCACCCAGAGCTCTACGAAATCTCCAGAGCTCCAGATCCCAGCTACAAATAGGAAAACCTGGACAGACCTGAAAAGCCAGGTTCTTCCTTATAACATGCATTACATTTTGGACCCTCTCAGCCAGTCTGGCTGAGACTCCTGGGTGCCAAAGTCGCCATCCTACACCGTGGCATTGGTTTACACTGCCACAGTGCTTACAGAAAACTATGTACTAACCTTGTAGAGCCAAAGGAAATCTCACCGCTCCAATTCCCCAGCTGCCATCAGGACCCCCTAGGTGCTGATCTAATAGGTGCCTCTCCAACTTGGAATGTAGTAGTATACGAACAGACTGCAATATCCAGAGAATTCCAGTACCTCAGACTTTATTGAAATGCACAGCAAATCCAGTATAATAGTGACTTACAGTGTACAAAGCAGCAAATACCAGCACCGCAAACCCTCAACACATTTAAGTGAGATACTGGTTTGTATTTGTTACCTCTATGAATAAGCCTACGGGTGAAACATGTGAGAGGTTGTAGCTGGTTGGAGGGTTTTTGGTGCTGGTATTTGCTGCCTTATACACTTTAATTCACTGTTATAGTGGATTTGCTATGAATTTCAATAGAGTCTAATGTACTGGAATTCTCTGGATAGTGCGGTCTGTTCGTATACTATGTGCTAACCTTGTTTCTGCTGTGTAGTCTTCTGACTGGATGTGTCATACGTGTGGATATCTGATAAACACATCATTTGAGTGATGGAAGCCTGTGTGTGTATGCATTTTCCTGTGTTGGAAAGATTGTGTTCTCATATTGTTGGCCAGCCCACTGGTAAAGATTTGTATGCATATGTACCGTGACCCAATCAATATAATTCCTTATTTTATTAAACAGGCTATGGTTTAGAGGTTGACATGTGGGCCACCGGAGTTATCTTGTACATACTACTATCTGGTTTTCCCCCTTTCCGAAGTCCAGAACGCAATCATGAAGAATTATTCCAGAAAATTCAACATGGAGAGTATGCATTCTTGTCACCCTACTGGGACAACATCTCAGAAGGTAATTATTCTAATCAGTAGTACAATTAAAAATGTACAAATCAAAAGTCTGAGTACTATAGGGACAGCGGGTTAGTTAGTGTTTATTTTGCCCTGTGCACATGTGCATGAAGAAGCTGTAGTACAAAGGCTTTATCTACTTTGTCTTCCAATAAGTAAGCTGAATGTATAAAGTCATTTGCTCTTTGGCTAAACCTCCTGATCTTCTTTATGTGAGTCCATGGACTTTTTGTCTGCTTGAAGACGAGTCTGGCTGGGTAAGGCTTTACACTCGTAGCAAGTGCAATGTGGGTGGATGTTTTAGCTGGTCTCCCTGGAGTCTAAAGTAAATCAATTTATTTTAGTGATACTGAACTATACAAGCATTATACAATACAAAAAAAAATGGTGCAAGCATGTTTTATAGAATAATTTATTTAGGATGAGATTATGCCTCCTTTCAATTTGAACTCACAGGTTATGGGTTTTAGTCATCTTATCAAATGTTACACTTTTATTTCTTTTGTTAACCCTACCACACATACCCTGCCCTGTTCCCCCTTATACTCACTACATAATGGAGTCTAATATTAAACTACATCTCATCTCAGAATTGTTTCTTTCTAGGTTGGGTGTTAACATCAATCACTATAGTGATTACTACACTACACCACTATTGCTTTGTATTTGATATAATACTGTATTTTGCTTCTCCTGCTGTATTTTTTCAGCTTCCTTTTGTACCTTGTGTTTGATATCTGATTTAATAATATTTCCTTGACCAGATTAAAAACCATTTATGATATCTGCAGAGACTAACAATTTGCAGTTCAAGAGTTAATATTTTATATTGTGCATTAGCATAGTATATTGTTTTATCATAACACTCACTAAAGAGCTAGGCAACTAGGAGATAAAACCTAAATAAATGAATTGGAAAAAAAGATGGTAGGACATATTTGTGCCGGTAATTTGAGCCGGTACATTTCTTCCTTCTTGATGCTTGGTCGTACCCAATGCCCTGTAGACTGCATTCTTGGCAGTCAGGATGCCCAGCTTATTAATGTCTGATGAAGGTTGCTCTCAGAGGACCTGTTGCTATTGCTACTAGTGAAGTTAGTGTCCTCTAATTTTTGTTCTTTTGGGTAAACGGCAACCCTAAACACTTACCACTAAGCAATAAATACTAAAAAGACCCTTCAACTCGAGACTGTTCATTACAAGAAGTGTCGGTGTTGCTGGGGCTGGAAAAATGGTCGGTAACTGCTAAGCAAGTAGGGGGACCAGCGGCTCCTTTGGGGGTCACTTTTACACTTGCTACTGGTTTCCTGGTGTGGTGAGAAAATGAAAATCTCCATTCACTATACCTCACAAATACTAACAGATGGAAGCTGTCCAAACCCTGAGCAGTACAGGAAGAGGTACTACAGAGCAACTACAGAAGTCAGAAGTGAAAATAGAAATAAACACAGTTTTTCTCCCGGTTACTTAGCTTTATATACTGTGCTATGTTAATGGAACAATGTAAAATGTAATGCTTACAAGGATTGCTACCTGTGGAGATTAGGTATTGTTACATTCACATGAATAAATTTAATGTTTTTCTGCCATTTTATTTGATTATTTTTTTAATGTCATATTGCAATCTTGTAGGTTTTTCTGGATTGTTCATGACAAACTGTTTTCCCTTACTATTGCAGAGGCTAAAGATTTGATCAGCAAATTGCTTTTGCTCAACCCCATGAAGAGGTTTACTGCCAAGTGTGTTTTACAGCATAGCTGGATCAGAACAAGTGGGCAAATGAACAGTCACAACCTCCAGAGAGAAGTTAGCATGAATATCGAACGCCATTTCCGCAACCATATCTAGAAATGGGGTACAAAAAATAATATACTAGATGTAGGTTAAATCTAGGATGGACATTTGTCACTTTTATGTCCTATGTTCCGCATCCACTGGAAGTGCTTTGTTCTTTACCATACACTGTGAAGATACCTCTATTATTATCATAATCCAGGTCGTAAAGCAAAATACAACTATTAAGTTACTTAAAATTATCTAAAATTGTTTAAACATCTCTGTTTTGGATAGCGTAAGAGAGGGTTAGTACCTTGATCAGATTTTTATACCTACACACTGTCTTTGCATTTCCTAGTGACTAATGTCACTGGAAAAGATAGTGAATGGAAATCAAAAATGTTACATTTATCACTGCAAGGATGATAGAGGTGAGATCTGCCAATGAGGACACCTTTTCCGGTGACCATTAGCTAAGAAAAGATTTCCCCTCCTTTACAAGGTAATATCCTTGATAGGACAGAGACAGAAAAAAACTGTCAGTGTTTTAATGGGGAGGAGGAGAACCCCTTTAAACAGAATTTCATTGGCAGGGGCAAGGTCTCGCAATAATAAACAGGTGCAGTACACATCACTCAGGTCCCTCGCTAAAATACCCATCGGATGTCCTCCTGACAGCAGTTAGACAATTGCCTCAGCTGTCTAAATGGTGACGGATGCAACATAGGACTCAAGATCCCTAGGCTGGGTAATGATGACTGCTGACCTGGTCCCTAGATGCCTCTGCACAGCTGGCAAGTCTTCAAGAGGTCAGGTAAAAGGTAGCACAGAACACTGGGGCTCCCCTCTCTAGCCTGCACCTTCCTTTCACATCTCTCTTTGATTCTCTGTCTCTGCATCCTAGCTTTGCTTCTATCAAGCTTCCTTCTCCCCTGCACACTCTTTTTTTCCTTTGCTGTGTTCCATGGACGGGCTAAGTCTACCCATTGATGTGGCCAGTCACAGTCTTCCGACCTCTCTTCCCTCTCTAGCAGGACTGTCCTTCATTAGCAAGCTTTGGCGGAAACTAGCCTGTTGCATCTGCAGTACATGGACTTTGCGGCTTCCGCTGTTTAAAGATACTGCCGGCTGGGATTACACATTCCCAAAATGAAAGTCTTTGGTCCCCAAACACAATAAAGTAAGGAAAAAGAATGACCTATATAGGTTATCTTACTAGATCGTAAAGAAATTATTACATATACAACAATTTGCTGTGTTCAAAGGGCGGTGGCACAATACTAACCATCATTTCATTGTAAAAGATATAAATGAGTGATAACAAGACAACCATTAAAATAAAAGTAACAAGAATACAAAAATTGTAGAAGGAGCTATGATAAGGCAGTGAACGGGTAGCTGAAGGATGCGTTTTTTATAGGTGGTTGAGTGCTATTTGGGTGAGGTTGGAAAAGAAAGGGAACTAATAAGGAGAACCAGTGAAAGCAACAAACGTAAAAAATGAGAGGAGTCTCCTGTGAATTTCTCCTATATAAACTTGCTTATCAGGAGAACACGATGCCTAGGCAAATCTTTCTCTGTTTTGCAGAGATGTTTTACAAAGTACCAATTCACAATGTTTATTTATGTTGCATTGTTCTATCCCATGATTAGCAAGGCACCGTAGATACGCCAAAATCACATGGAATGCAAATTAATGAATAAAAGAGTTATGTGAAAGCTAAACTGGTATTAGCTAATTCTACAGGCACATAATATACACTCTATTTCATATGCAAATAGTGTTGAATTTGTCACAACTTTAAATGTAGTGGAAACTCACAACTTTATATCAGGTGAAAGCTCGAACATACAGTGTATATATATATATATCAAAAACAATCTAACATTTCCATAAACCAATAGGTGTTTCACTTACAGTGTATCAATTATACAGAACATTGTTTTGTTTGTGTTTTAAACACCAGGTGGTGCTCTTGTAGCAATTAATCGGAATAAATGGGCAAACTACATCAGTTATGTCTGCTCAGTATATTTAACAGAAAAAATAGTTAACAGAGAAAAGTTTTAAAAGAAGAAAGTCTTATAGCAACAGGTTAACTTTAATGCCAGTCTCACTAGCAGTACAAACATTCCCTTCATCTCCTTGGTGTTCTGTTTGGTTGCTAAGCATGAGGGAGAGTTAGCCCAGTGTAAGCTGCAGATAGTTGCCAGCGTTGAGCCAGTACAAAGCAATGACTGGCTGTCTGCCGGTATTCAGATGTAATCACACATGGAGTGATTACCTGTGGCTATAAACAGCTTGTGTACATGGGCGATCATCTGTTCCTTGTTCTCATTTAAAAGCACTGTTTAAGCTTGTATGCAAGACACATCACTTTACAATATCTGTCTCATCATATACTAATACCAGCCAGAGTAGATAAACTGCTCCTAGCTTGTAATCAGGGGCGGACTGACAACACATGGGGCCCCCGGGCAATACAAGATTATGGGGCCCCCTTGTGCTCCGCCCATATACAAGTCCCTCCCACATGCCCCACCTGCATAGACATTCTTGTGTCACAGAAATGTTTTCTCCACATTATTTTTCAAATAGTGGGCCAATTCACTAAGATGAATTGCCGGGGAACTGGCTGTCCATGCTTCTGGGCTGTGAGCTGTGGGAGGTTAGTGGGAGGGGCCGGACAGTGTGAAAGTCAGTGTTCTATAATTTTTCTCGATCCTATAAATTTTCTCCACTGTGTCACTTCCAGTGGGGCCAAGTCATATATATCTATAGATATATATATTGTTTTATTATGTTGTATTATGTTCCCAGGGACATTTAAAAATGTCCCTGGACTTTATTTTTAAAATCTTGTCACCTTACCCTGGTGGGGGCTCTCCTGGTGGTCAGTGGGGTGCTCCCTGGACCCTGGTTGTGGGGGGGCTGCTGTGGCCGCGGTTTCAGTGGCTTCCTCCGCCGCCTCTCTGCCACCTGTGCCAGGTCAGCCCGCCCGCATCATGATCAGATGCAGCTCTGTAATCGCCGGCCGCTCGCTCCTCAAGGGGGTCCTCGGCAGGTCCCCAGTGGGCTGCCCTCTACAATGCCTGATCCAGCCAGCCCGGATTGCCTTGTATGCGATCCAGGCCGGTAATCAGGCATTGTAGAGGGCAGCCCGCTGGGGACCTGCCGAGGACCCCCTTGAGGAGCGAGCAGCCGGCTATTACAGAGCCGCATCTGACGCGGGCGGGCTGACCGGGTGCAGATGGCAGAGAGGCAGCGGCGAGGGGACGGTCAGTGACAGGCCCCCTGATGGCCGCGGGCCCTCGGTCCGTGCCCGACTGCCCGAATGGTCAGTCCGCCCCTGCCCCAGAGGAAACCCACGCAAGCACAGGGAAAACATGCAATGCTGTAAGGCAGAAGCGCTAACCACTACGCCACTGTGCTGTACAGCCTGCATCATAATGGCAATGCTGCTCTGGATTCAGGAGCACTGCAGCATCATTGCAACACCATCACAGGAAGCTGCTTTAGGTGGATTTCACTGGTTAGATATTTGTGGGGCTTTGCAAGGGAACTAATAGAAAACTGTTCTTATAATTAAGTTATACAGCACATATTGTAATGTGAGGCCATAGCTCTACTTTAACCAGGAGGGCTCTGATTTTCAATAGAAAAAAATGGAGTTACACTCAGGACCTCATATACTCTCCCTGCTGCCCCAAGGCCAGGCAAGGCTAAATATAGAAAGACAATTACTGCCCAGCACCCGGAACTGCATATCCGGGACGTCGGGAGATTTCAAACTGCTGCCACCCCTCTGCTCCCTGCTGCCCTAAGGCCTCGGTGGCCTTGTGGGGAATCTGGCTCTGGTTACACTCTAGGTTGACCTAGTACATATACAGTTGCAGTAGTATATACAAATAATTATTTCATGATCAAGTATGAGTATTGGAGTGTGGGATACTGACTAACAGTACATTATTTCCTTTTTTATGCTTCTTTTGTTTCTATGAATAACATTCAAAATACGCCTGAAATTATAAATGGGATCATTTATACTATATATTACGTACAACATGCTTGTACACACAGCAGAACAGTGATTTATCATTCATAAGGGAATATTCATTAGTTATGTAGTAATTAATGCCAGCACACACTTTACATGAAGCAACGCAATTATGAAAAGATACTTATGGCTTTCTACTTGTTACATTATAGCGTAATCCTATCATATGTGTATACTGATCTATGCACGGACATTTTTTACAATAGCAACAGTAAGTTTAAATACAAGACAGGACTGATTTAGAAAACAATCTGTTTTGGTATTTCTCTACGGGTAAAAAATAAATCATGTTTTACACTAAAACACAAAAAGCGACATTTAGAAAAGAAATGTTAACTAAGTGTAATTTCCCAGCCGGCTTCCTTTAAAAAAAAAGTGTCCCCTTGCGTCGCCTAAACCATACCAGACCTTTAACCTTGATAAGTGTCTGGTATGAATTTACAGGGGGACCCAGGCAGAGAAAACACATGATGTCCCCACCCAAAAAAATCTGTACCAGACCTCTATCCAGGCATGCATCCTGGCTGGCCTGGAAAGGGCGGAAGTGAGTGTACGAAAGGTGGGAGCCCCCTTGGTGAGGCCCTTTGTCAAGGGCTTCATCCTCACATCCCTGGGGAAAGGAGGTTATTATTGAAAACCGGAAACCCCCCTTAGAATAAGGGGGACCCAGATATCCCCCCCCCCACACACATAAATGGTTACTACTGAAAAGAATGATGAAGTAAATAAACACACACCATGACAAAGTCCTTTATTTAAAAAAAAAAAAAAAGGTTATCCCCAGTGTGATTTACAGTCAATCAGCCAGTCCAGCAATGTGGATCCAATGACAATTGTGATGAACAGTACCCCAATGACCTGTTGAACACAACGATCCCCTTCTGCCGATACTCCCATTGCATATGACAGCTCTCCGGTTGTCTGGATGATGCTGGATGCCTGCACAATGTGATTGATTTTTGATTTACATTGGGGGACAGTCTTTATTTTAATTTTTTTTACGAGAAAGAACTTTCTTATACTGTGTTTTTTACTTTATCATTTTTTTTTTTTTACAGGAGTGATCAATAATGTGCAGATATCTGGGGGGCCCTATTCTAAAGGAGCTTCTAGATTCCAACAAGTACCCTCCCTTCACATGCACATAGGATGTGAGGATGAGACGCTTATCCCCATCATTATGGGGAGACAAGCCACTGGGCTGCCAGGAGCTGTCATTTAATGCTGGTAATAACACCACCACTAAATGAATGACTTATGGCTATAGCAGCCAGAGGTTTGGTTAACTAGCCAACTCACACTGTTTAGTTCACTTGTTTGGCGAACTGCGAATAGATTTTGTTCTGGACAAATTCATGGTCAACCCAAACCCGAAGCTTATCCCTAGTTGCCACCTTTCCTGGGGAAAAAAAGCCAAAGCTATAATCTATTTGCTATTAAATACATTGGCAACAAGTTATATTTTAACTGGCTGGGCCAGTAAAATATCTGCTTCGTGGCCTGGTAGACTTTAGCCTAGGTAGGTCTGTCATATGCAGGACACAATCACCCTCATATCATATTGTTGACCATCAGTAACAACTTATAGATAGTGTAATTTATTCGTATTAGTGTGACAATACTGATAGCTAGTTAATATGAGATGAAGAGGGGGGGGGGGGTCACAAGACCTTTGGCCCGAGAAGCAGAAACAAATATCCAGATCCTTACAATATTAGATATGCAATCCGAAGTAACAGGCCAGTTAAACAAGACAGGAAAGAGAAGCTGGACTTGAAGTGAATACTAAGTATATTAAGGCTAAAGTTATTAAGCAGAGCCAAAGGGCAAAAAATTATAAGTATAAAACACAGATACAGATAAAATGATACAGGTATGAAATCCGGATACACATCAGAGAAACAGGAAACAAACATTTAAGAGAAGTTTATAATCTGTGGGCAGAAGTGAAGTGTAATCTATTAGTAGACCAGGACAGGGAAGGTGGTCAGGCAGAAAGTTTGTACAAGGATGAAGGTTTTACCTGTCAACTGGACAAAGTACATAGGTCAAGAAGGGATACAGATTCAGATATATAGGTTTCAGAAGGCAGATTGGATTTCAGCTCTGGTTAAGAAGGGAAGAATGAAAATATGCATTAGATGAACCCTAGTCAAATATAAAAAGCTAACATGAATGCAGCTTGCAATCATTATTACATCATTATTATTATTTTTTAAATACAAGAAGGGTAAGTGCATGAATTTGACCTGGTATTAGCTTTGTGCAGTCCCTGTACAGCAAAACTACAGCTTGATAACAAGCCGGGACTACTTAGCTCCCCTAACACATATTCCATTCTTGGTAGTCCAATTTCAGGGCTACTGAAACAGACATTCATGATGCTTATTTGTTTAGATTACAACTGCTTATGGGAAAAAAAGGCAGCAAATATAAATAAAATTCCAACTCCAGCCATTAGCCATCTAATATGCATAGATGGGATTGATAGACCTATCATGCAGAATGATGACATACTGTAAACCCTTGCTTTATTAGTTGGATAATTGAATAGAAAAAAAACAACAACATGGAGTTCCCCCTTTTACATCAGAGCCCTCCCCTTTCATATCAAAAGTCCCACCTTCCACATCAGAATTCCCCCCCTTCACATCAGGAGCCCTCTTCACATCTTACAATCATGGCAGAGGGTGGGAGGCAGAGCAGGTTTGCATCTTCTTCTAAATGCTGGGGGATGTTCTGGATGTCTCCCACCTTGGAATAGCGTCATGTCTATGGTGCTGGTGGCTGGACTGCCTGCACCATTGGAAAATATGACGCTGTGCCTAAATTTGATGGCACCCCTAATGATGCCAGATGGTAACCCAGAGTGCCGCAGAACCCTGGTTGAGAATGGCTGTCTTTGCCGGTAACATCTTCTTACAGACATATTCATGTACATGTCCAGTTTCAGTATGAGTCGACATAGAAATAATATTCTACAGAATTATTGTGTCTTCTAATTTATGAGCGTACACAATGGCCCAGTCATCTGTCATCAGAGCATTCATTGCTTTGAAAAATCATGTGGCAGCAAGGAAATACATTACTTTTCTGGAATAATGAGCTTTTTAGTCTCTGAACAGATTTAATCTGAATTTCGTATTCTTTCACAATGAAGATGGAACTAGATAAAAAAAAATGGAACTAGATTTTTGTATTATAGCTCAGTGGCATCTGAAAAGAATAGTAGAAGAAATAACAGTCATTTGGCATACATCTGTAGGGATGAGCATTGTCAGGTAACTAAAGGTTATGTTCACAAGAACAATTCAGTCATGATTTGGTTTTGTATGAATAGTCTGCCTTAATTATGTAGAAAAAAAGATCAGTATGTTGGGATTGTGTTCACTTCTTTTTCATGCATATGACATTCATAGAAGGCTTAAATAATTGCTAGGAATAAAAAGTCCCATAGCAATGGGAACACAAATGTACTATCATGGGGAAATATTCTCAAATGATTAATATACTGTACATGGTGTAATGCTCTGGACTACAAATCCCAGAGACGTAAAGCTTATCTCAAGGATGAGCCCAGCTGTAAAGCTTGGCAAAACTTTAATTTCTATTTGTTGTCTGTTTTTGCAGCAAAGCTTCAAGGAAACTGACCCAGTATCATTTAAAAGTACTTTACTTGCCGAAAATGCTGCGTGTACAAACTTAGTTACAGGAAAAAACAAATACATAAACAAGACATACAGACTGCTACAAACAAACTATCACATGCACCCACTACACTATCCTTTCTAGTACATATAATGCTTTCTAGCAAGGGAAACACTGAAAAATGTACTTAGCTCCGGCTGCAGGCTCCACAAATTCTGTGATGAACAGGACTTCTTGGCCAAGGAAAATGGCTTCTCGTTGCAGTCTCTGCTAAATACCTTGTATGTCCTGGTCTTAAAGCAAGTCCTCTTGTCTTGTGAAGCCCCCTTGTACTCTCCCCCTCCTGTGAAGCCCTCATCTTGTGAAGTGCCCCTCAACCTTTCAGCTACTCGCTTTTTATTGAGAGAAAACTGGCCTCCCACTTGGAAGCGCCCTGCTCCTTTCACTTTTAGTAAAATGAAATACCACGCATTTTACTTTCCCACCTCTAGGCGGCAGCATTGTATCATAAATTGCCATCAGTAGTCTAGATTTGATTTGAGTCTTGACCAGGCTCAGTGTGACTGTTTACGATCACCATCCCATTGTGATACGAATAATGGGGAAACAATACAGGAAAGCCACACCATTGTGAAACAAACCAGTTTGGTCTGTTCAGAATGCACCTTCCATTGTGTGACCAGCTCTCTGTCAATAAACAAACAAAATCTCAGTCTCTCTTGCAAATCTATTTGTGTCTTAAAAAGTCCAATAAGATATATCGCAACACACATGGGTAGCAGAAGTTTTGTACCACCAACTCTGTGAACAAAGTAAGTTAGACAAACACCATTAAGCTGAACTCCAGCTTCACCTTTTTCCCCACAGTTGTTGCGCTGTTACAGTTGTTGTATAAAACATGGCACAATGCATAGCCACAGTTGATATTTATATTAATGTGGAGTGAGAACTACATAGTTAATTTTCCATTAAGCCATTGCTCATTGGCACTTGTATAGCTGGTTGATATGCTGCCATCTTGTGGGCTTTTTGGTTATATAGCAATCTTTTTCTGTGTTCCCTCCCATTTATGATGTATTTCCTCCTTCTGGTTCAATAAGTAGTCGTTCTGGTGTCATGGCTGCCTATATGATGGTTACATGTAATATGCTCACATGGGGGAAACATTACCATCTCTGACCTGCAAATACCGTAATTTCTATCATCTACTACATTCTGTTGTCTACTATAACCTGCCGCATCAATAAAGAGCTTTGAGGATGAAAAAGGTATTTGGTGAGTTCAGCTTTTACAGGCCAGGCATATAGGTCTCAGCAAGGGATACATCACTAATACAACAATTGGAGTCAGAATACTTGTAGCAAGGCCTCTCCTGCACTAAAACTGATTACTCTCAATTCCCTGCAAACTTTCATTTCCACAATAACAGGAAAATTGTATCACCATATTTACCGCAATTTTCCTTTCCTGACAGTTCCATGGCAGCATACGATTGGGTGTAGGCTCCGCCCTTTAGAACCTGATAGGATCTTTAACTTCTAAATTTGAGCCTCCACCCAGTCACTAGCGTTACATAACTAGCAACTCCGACTGGGCGGGAATGTGCTGCCATGGAGCAGTCGGGAAAGGAAAATTGTGGTAAGTATGGTAATACAATTTTCCTGTTTTCCTGACAGCTCCATGGCAGCATACGATTGGGAAATAACTCACACAACACAAGGGAGGGAATGCAAAGTGATTTTAATTATACACAGATGGAGAGGCCACGACTGTGCGGCCAAACTCAACCATAGACAATGCCGCAGACTCAATACAGTAGTGACGCATAAAAGTATGAATAGAGGACCATGTATCTGCTTTGCAAACCACCTCTGGAGAGACGCCACTCATGGCTGCCCAGGAAGTCGAAACACTCCTAGTGGAATGTGCAGTCGCATGCCCGGCAACGGCCAACCCCTTAGCACCTAATTGCGGATGAACCAGTATGTAAAAATAAGCATCCTTCAAGTCTATAGAGAAAAGCCAATCACCCAGCTGAATGACTTTAAAGATAGTCTGTAAGGACTCCATTTTGAAACGCTCTTTAGCGATGAAGCGGTTGAGGAATGTCAAATCCACTATGGGTCTCCAATCTCCACTCTTCTTTTGCACCAGGAATAGAGGAGAATATACGCCCAGAAAGTGTTCCTGGTATGGCACCGGCACCACAGCTCCTTGCGACAACAGAGTTTTCACATACATCCAGAGAAATTCTAGTTTGACCCTGCAGCCCGGTAGCTGTGTAGGAATGAAGGAAGGTTGAGGGTGCCGAAAGAAAAGTCCATGCATGTCCCCTCAAGATCGTGTTCACTACCCAACGGTCTACCATATTGTCCGCTAAGACCCGCCCGAAGCTGGTCAATCTGGCTCTCACCTGACAGGCCTGGGCGGGCGAAACTTCAAAAGGACTGCTGGCGATCCTCAGCAGAAGAGCAGGGTCCTTTCTTAGGTTTGGAGAACGAAGAACATGCCTTCCAAAGCCTCTTGAACTGTTTACCAGGCTTATAGGACTTTGCGTCCCTATATGATCCCTGGGCATTCCCCTGAAAACGAGCATTTTTCTGCCGTTATCTGTCCTGATCAATATGGCGATCTAGAACATCCTGGAAGGATACAGCGTCATCCAATGGCAGCATCACGTGACTCGCCAGACGCATAACAGCTGCGTCAACAACCAGGGCCACTTCCAGATCTTTGAAGTCATCTTTCCTGGAAGGGTACAGCTTCGAAAAACAGTTGCGGAATGTAGATTTCCTGTCTGCTTGGCTCTATTCATCCATAATCATTTCCTTGAGCTCCACCAAAACTGAGTGCTTCCTTCTTAATATGTTTGAAGAATCGTCTGTTCTTGTCGGGCTCGGGAACATCATCTTCCCATAGCAAGGACTGTCAAACAGCTTTCACGAAAGGTTGAACCAGAGTGAAATCAAAGCCATCCGCCAGGTCCACGTCTGAACCGGAAGCCTCGCTATGTAAGGCAGAACCGGGACCCACATCCAGAGGAGCCACAGCTGGTTCTGACTGGTGACTAACCTGATGGGAAGTGCTAGCCCGAGGCTGTGAGGTGGATTGAGAATTGGCCACGAAATCCTTGATAGACTCCTGAAAGACTTGCTTCATCAGGGAAATGACCTGTAGATTGTCAGTCAACTTGTCACTGGTTGCTTCTTGAAAACAAGCGTCACAAGCAGTTTTTCCAGGCAAAGCGGGATTATGGCATGCCCAGCATTGATCAGGAGGAGGTTGTGGATAATGCCCATGGGCACAGTGCGCCTGACGTTCCACTGAAGGAGATCTATGGCGATTCCCATCATGCCCGTGTGCCAGATGGCGGTCTCAGGAGGGGGATCCGTATCTGGAGGAAGACGACCTGTGTCTTTCTCTGTGCGACCTGGAACCATCGCGAAGAGACCTGGAGGGGCTAAAACAATACATACCATGACCGAAGCGTCCGCGGACATCAGTGCAGAAAACATGCAGACACTCGCTTACCTTCTTTGGAGGCATTAGCCTGGAGTAGGGGTTGGCTTGTCATTGGGTATAGTGTAGTGGAGCAATAGGCTATAAAACATCAGAGGCAAGCTGCAGTCAGTGCAAGGCAAGGACATAGCAAGCAGACACAGTGCCGCAGGTACCCCAGCAGAATAAAGCACAGGGGCTTACTTGTACCAGAAGACACCAGTCTGCAGAGCTGCCGGCTGATGCACAGCAAGGCAGGACGCAGACCAACAAAGAGCGCCCCAGCGCCTGAATTCAAAAACGCAGCCGCCGTAGGACAGGCCCCCAGCAGGAGGACTGCGTCCTACTGCGCATGCGCCACCCATGATCCAGTTGGAGGCATGGAATGCATTTGCGTTCCATCCCCCCCCACTTCTGCAGATAGAGTAAGAGATTGTGCCTCCTCCTCCGCCACACCGGACAATGCGGAAGGAGAGAGACAGTGCGGCCGCACAGCTACCCACATCAAGCATCATAAAAAAGGAGACCCGGCTTTACCAGACAAAACAGTGCCTCAAGGCCAGCAGAGAGGCTCCTCACACACACCCCACAGGGCAAAAGAGAGGACTGCATCCAGGAATCCAAAGAAAGGGTGGACCGCCACGGATTTACCATGGCCAGGCAAGCGACCATCGCCATTCACCTATCAGATTCCTAAGGAGGAACGCTAGTGGCTGGGTGGCGGCTCAAATTTATGAGTTAAAGATCCTATCAGGTTCTAGAGGGCAGAGCCTACACCCAATCGTATGCTGCCATAGCGCTGTTAGGAAATAACCCTTTGAAGCTGCAGCAGCTATCTTGAGCCCATCTTTATTCCCTGTCGGAGCAACCTCCATCATTCAACAATCACCTCTTCTGATATGTACGATCATTGCTCTCCCCCATCACAGCTATTATCTTTCTTGTTCCCTGAGCTTTATGTCAAAGAACATACCCAGGCATCCATTTAGATGTGCCTGCAATCAGCACAGTTAAAGTCTGCAGCACCCAGTGGCCAGCAGGGAGAAACAGACACATCTAAAGGGATCCCAGGATGTGTTCTTTCATATAATTCTTCTGAAAAAGAACCAAGGCAGAATGCTGTGACATTTACAGGAACTTGCCAGCCCCTGTCACCAAACTCAGGGCAGAGAACAGCAGACAGACCCAGTGATGACATCACTGGGTCCTTAAACACATTTTTCTTAAAAAAAGAAATTATTTGATGGAAAAATTTGAATTGCATGTTGATTGGGGAGGGGGGCAAAGTAAGGTATTATATGCTTACACTACATTTCACCTTTAATACAAGACAAGTGCTGTATCTTTCCCAAGATGTTGACCTGAATTGCAAATCTTAGCACCAGCATAACATCTTTCTTTCAACAAGAAGGCTACATTCACACCTATACTTTAGGTGCGATTAGGGATTTCTGTGGTAGGAACTTGCAATTTCCTGTAGTAGAAATCCCTTATCTGCTGCCTACAATCGGCAACTGTCACCCATTCAAGTTAATGATCGGGTGTCAGCTGCTGCATTTAAAAACGGCAGAACACTGGCACACCACATGTGATTGTATGTGATATGATTATTTGCGGTTAGGAATCAATCACTGAAAAAAGATTTTGTAATGATCGGTTTAGGATCAAAACAAAGTACAGTATAAATAAGGGTCGGAAAGCCAAAATTAAGTACAAAAAAGTATAAATGTATTAATTGAAAAAACACGGTCTAACTAGATACACCAATTAGTAACCACCAGTTGTTGTTTAAAATTAGTTATTGCAATAACCTTCACTCATACTCTCAAAAACATACACACAAGGTCTAGCTGATCAGCATGATGAGTAGTACCGGTCTGAACTCAAGTTCATTGAGAAAACAGCGCCAAAAACATAAAAAATAATATGTAATTCGATTTGTAGAACAATGTGACCACTTTCCTTGTATATATGATATTACCGTTTGGATCCTTCCACGACAACTGAGAGGGTAGTAATCCCTGAGACAGATGGTGTAACAATAGATCCGTTACATTTGTAGCCACTGTTCACGGGAAGTAAAAGTCTGACCATCAGACACAAAATTTAGTCAAAGACTAATGTTAGATAAACAGGCACTGTCCAGAAACAATCAGTTGTAAACTTTCGCCCGGAGTGTTAATTACGCATGGAAGGAAGTATCTACCAATGCAGTATGTAAAGTCACGAGCAAAATCGTACTCACGGGTGCTGGTTGATTTGCGGGCAGTGTGTCTCAAGAGATGTAGTTGTCTCAAGTGCCTGTGGTTGTAGATGTTTTTCCGTAGTTGGGTTAAACACCTTTGCTTGGAAAAGTTCTCAGAGTCTTAGGACGTTTCTTTGATCCTTTTGTTTAAGGTATTTCCAAATAAGGCCGGGATGTTAGAGCCTGACATGCAGGCAGTCAGTCAGCTTGTTGTCCACTACCATGGAATAAATCACTCCCTAGATAGGCAGAGCCAGCTGCCAATCAGGTGCAGGGGTGGATCCTAACAATATTGCTGGGATCTTTTCCCATCTGACCATGGCTCTGCGCTGTCAGCATATAGCAGGCAATAGCCCACAGTATGCTGAGGTATGGGTCACAGGAGGACGTAGTAAATGTACTCCTGTGATCCTGAAAAGAATTATGGCCAAAAAAGGTTGGGAAATAGTTCTCTTTTAACCTCTAAAACTAAGATTGACTCTAAGGCATAACCCTCCCTCCTACATCCTTTAAGCCCAACTTAACTTTTTTGTTTAAATGGAATCTATGGTCAAAAAATAAATATGTATTTCTTTATTGAACAAACTACGGTATATCACATTTTTTTCGATCAGTGAAACACATGCGCCGGATGCGGCTAGGAATGCGGAAACCGCTGGCGCCAACTGAGATTACTGATGCTGAAAACACTGTTGCTAAATGCATTCAGCAATGCTAAAAACACAAGCACCAGTCAGTTAACTAACTGATCAAACTGCA